TATATATATATATATATATATATATATATATATATATATATAGAGAGAGAGAGAGAGAGAGAGAGGAGGCAAGGTGGGGTAATGGATAGTGACTTGATAGCCGAGTTCGAATTCCAGTCGAATCCATTACATTTACTTACGTGCTAATATCCTTGGGAAAGGTGTGAATCCTCTTCTTCTCCCTCCAGCTATGGGTAAATAGCAGGACAGAGGGGTTCTATAGCCCTGGATGGCAACTGGTCTAGGAGAAGGACACTGTTTAAATACTTTCATTGCCCTAACTATTTGATTAAACCAGAGAAGTTGAGAAATTTACTAATTATTAAATTCAAACGGTGACATATATATATATATATATATATATATATATATATATATATATATATATATATATATATATATATATATATATAACAGCTTGTCTGTGGATGACAATATGTGTTCCCCGAAATCCGGTTGGGCTCTCTTGAGAAGGTAATTTTAAAAACATTGGCTCATACCGCTATTAACGCATTGCTCTCCAAGCAATTGTTGACTTCAATGTCCACTTCATATATTATATATATATATATTGGAGGCACGGTGGAAATGTAGGAATCTACTTTTTCTCCCTTCAACTATAGATACATATCAAGACAGTAGTGTTTTATTTATCCTTGGTATCAACTGGCCTAGAAGGAAGAAGGTCGTTTGGAGAATTTGAGCACACTATATGCACCTCTTCTCTTGTGTGATTGGTTCTGCACAATCCATTATTACTATAGTCAAATCAAATGTGTGTATAGTCTTGCCGCTCGATTCAGAGATCTGAATTACTGCACATCCATGCGTTAAAACCTACATCAGAGTTCAACTATATATATATATATATATATATATATATATATATATATATATAATATTAGAGGTCAATATAAATATATATATATAGAGAGAGAGAGGAGGCAGGGTGAGGTAATGGATAGTGACTTGGATAGCCGAGTTCGAATTCCAGTCGAATACATTACATTTACTTACGTGCTAATATCCTTGGGAAAGTTGTGAATCCTCTTCTTCTCCTCCAGCTATGGGTAAATAGCAGGAAGGAGTGGGTTCTATAGCCTTGGATGGCAACTGGTCTAGGAGAAGGACAAATCTGAATTCAAAACCTGCGGATGGTCGTTTGAGGACATTGTGGCACGTAGTGCACCAACATTGGAACCGTAATAACGATCCAATTCATCAGACCTACAAATTCATATATATATATATATATATATATATATATATATATATATATATATATATATATATATATATGTTGTGAGGGTGAATATTTCCTTACAAATTTGGACTCGACCGTCAGACGAAAGGCATAAAAATATTCCTACATCAAGAGGAGTAGCAGGAGGAGTAGTAGCAGCAATAGTTTTTGCTGAAAACAGTCATACGTGGCTACACATCCACTTCTCAAGTTTCTATTCTATTTGTTTTCTTGTACCAAAAGTTAATGAACTTGTTAAACCAATGCCAATTTTCTACTGTTTTTGCTAATTCAATGACAACAATATCTATCTATCTATCTATCTATATATATATATATATATATATATATTCATAATTTTGTATTCATTTTGCTTAAACGTTATTTTTGATGGATTCTCATATTCGAGGAGAAGATGTGTTGTTTTTCAACAGTATTTTTTATTCAACTATATCTACCAGCCAGAATATTCAAGAAATCTTATCATATAAATATGCGTCCTCTGACAGGATTCGAAACTACATCTCCCATGGGGAACCGTCATTGGACTAAGCGCTCGGCTACGTAAGACTTACTTTCAAACAACTCCCGAATAGTGCTTTTAAACACCCACCCGCCGATTCTCGAAACATCTATATCCGCTGTTTCGTATCCTAACGTAAATAAACACAATTTATTTTAGGAAATGAATTAAATGCGACATATTTTTTTTATTTTTAGTTTATTTTGTTTAAACGTTATTTTTTAATGGTTACTCATATTCAAGTAGAAGCTTTGTTTCCTAATATACCGGGTGTAACAGCAAAATTGTTCAAAGCATGTAACGGCATAATCCGCCATCACACTAAATGTTTATCTAAAAAAAAAAAAAAAAACAGTAAACTAATTGAGTTTCTTTTTTTTTTCAGGTTTTCAGATAAGATGTTTAGCCATCTTGATATTATTTTTCGTGAGAATTATTGAAAAACCACTTGAGTTATTCAGCTAGAAAGAGAACAGATTAAAATCGTTTTGTGTCAGCCCCACTGTCTTCCTAACTAAGCAATTGTGAGAGAAAAAATATCATTCAGGCCTTCAGTAATGGTACCGACATTCATATTCTTCTTCAAAGTTCAATCAAGAACCACCAAGAGAACGGTAAACAAGTTTAAAAAAGAGGGAACAGTAGAGAGGAAAACTGGATCTGGAGGTCAACATCAAGAAGGATCATCATTTCAACTTATCATTAAAGAGATCAATTAGAAAAGATCAAACTCAATCCATAAGACGTTTGGCACGTGAGAGAAAAGTTTCAGATATGACACTCCAAAGAGAAGTGAAAAAAGTCTTCATAATGAAATCGTAAGTAAAATTGTGTGGCAAGTTACTCCAGGACAGAAAGCTAGAGGTTTAGAGAGGGAGAAAATCATCATGAATAATTTGGAAAATGATCCTGTAATATATATATATATATATATATATATATATCAGAGTATATAATTGGTATACACGGAATGAATTCCAATAACCAACAATTACTATTCTTAAAAGAGTGCTCAATACAAAGTAGAGCAGATATTTTCTTTTCAACACCATCACTTGATAAGACACAGAGTGTGTTGAAACAAAATGGCTATTTTTGTAGTGATTTTATAACATACTTATGTTATAAATTTTTTTTTTATAAAAATAATTATATATATATATATATATATATATACTTTAACTTTATTTCAATCGTTGACGAGCTTCTGATTCTTAGATATGATTAATTAATGTAATTTTCATTCAAATTAATTTCATCACGATTCTTCTGTTAAGCTTGGAGAGTAATTATAAATTCTTATTACTCAAAGTAGTGCCCTATAGTGTTATGAAAATGTCGGAGAATTCCAGTAAAATATCTTTAATCATTTCTAATATACACCGGTTCAAATCTTAATCTAACAACTGCGCAAATTTGCTGTTACAGGATTTGGACAATTTTGCAATTACACCCGGTACACATACACACACACACACACACACACACACATACATATCTATCTATCTATCTATCTATCTATCTATCTATCTATCTATCTATCTCTCTCTCTCTCTCTCTATATATATATATATATATATATATATATATATATATATATATATGTGTGTGTGTGTGTGTGTGTGCAGTGTGGCTAAGATAAATCTTGATTAAAATAACGAATAATAAAAACAGCGCTTTTATGTAACAAATTAGTATATTTCGATGAAACTTTATACATAGTTGGGCATATATAAGGTCCAAAATCAGTTAGACATATATAAAGTATACAAATTACTAAATTTGGCCACCACTTTCTCCAGCACGGACCGGGAGCGGTAACTTGACAACAGCATCCCTCTTCATGTTGGCCATGGCGTCACTGTCTTGAGAGTCTCTTTGGTCTTGTAGGGCCTGCTGTTTACCTCCCTCTCCAAGACACCCCACACAAAATAGTCGAGAGTATTGCAGTCTGGCGATGAGGCGGTTTCTTTGGCGATTCTCCTCATGCTTTTCCTGATGTTATCCTTGACAGCATTGGCAGCATCTACGACGATCTCTAGCGTCTTGTAAGTCTTGCGTGCTGGCCTGAAATTGTGTTTGCCGTCTGGTTTTAGGATATTTACATCATTCAATGAATACCTTGGTTGTGTGGCTAGTGAGAAGGCTTTCTACAACACCAGCTCGACAATTGTATTCCGAAGACATGTCGATTGCTAAGCATCTCGTGTGTCAATGGCCAGACAGTTACTGAGGTGTAGACCGTTCTCATAGCTGTCTCGAAATCCCGAAGTCACGGTCTTTGTGTTAAAGGTTGTTCCAATAACTTAGACCGATTTTAAATGTGAATTAAGTTTAAGCGTCTAATGATTTTTTTTCTTTTTCTTTCAGATTTAACAACTTAAGTCTTCAACCATGGAAAGATTAACAATCAAACAATGTATAAAATTATCGAAGCCAATTACGAAAATGGATGTTCAAACAGAAATGCAATGAGAAGTTCCCAGGTCGCATCATTTCTTGAAACAGCGAAGTCAGTTGACCACCACGATCGTGTGACTTGATGCCTTTAGATTTCTTCCTTTCGGGTCATCTCAAATGTAAGGTCTATGCCAACAAGCCAACAACAATTTAACAACTGAAGGATGAGATAATAAGGTATATTGGTGAGATCGAGAAGCAACTATGAAGAGACGTCATCAAAAATTTTGACCATCGAGTGGAAGTGTGCCGTCGTAGTCTTGGCGGATATTTGGGCAATATTATTTTAAACACATAATTACCATGACTTAAATAACATGATTCAATAGAGAAATAAATAAATTTTCATCAATAACAATTTATTTACTGCTGACTTTGATCCGTCTTAATGAAACACCCTTTGTCAGGGACAAAGGTGCTGGAGAGAAAATGAAATGACCACAGATGAATTCGGCTAGATTGAAAAAATATTCTTTAAAAAATTATGAAACTACTGGCGTCTCTCGTTTCGTGCGCATGAGTAGACACGACAACGTCAACAAAGCCCAGTCCAATGAAATTCTTACGGATGAAACGCGTCAGAAACAAAAAAAAAAAACCTTTCTACTTTGTCATATTTTTATAAATACTGTTTGTTGATATATAAAATTATACACAATTATATATCGTTATATCATATATATGTTCAATTCATGCATATATTTGTTCAGCTTAACTTGCCCTGTAAAACTCTCTTGTCAAAAATTACGACATGGCGAGACGTGTAATTAATGCATGGTGTCCGGCACAAACGCCACAATTGTGTTCACCCTTGTAAGGTTCGATCTTACTGCACCAGTAATTCTATGCATTTTAATCAGTTCTCTACGGCAAGGTGTTCTTCGAGCGCCAAATTTTACCCGCTCAATGGAGCTATACTCGATTCTGTATAGTTAAATGTTTACTTTTTTTTTTTCGATTGAGTCTCGTTTAGCAGAATCAGCTTATCGAAAATGTTGCTGCCACCAGTTTTTTGAGGGTGCGTGTAAAAAGGAAATCAATCTGTCTTCGTATGTCAGCAAGAAATGCCCGGTGACCATTTTTCAGCACCCCCCTGGGTCAGTGTGCTCACCGGAGTTGAATTAAGCGAAGCCATCTGCATGTTCTTTTGTGCGCGGTTAATTCTGATTGATTCAAACTGACGTCTGTTGGCGAAGGTTTTTGCGTTGTGGGCGAATTACGGTGGGTTGAGAAACGTTAGACTTAAGGACAATCGGTCCAGGCAGAAAAGAGATCCGGCAAAAAAGAAATTTTGCTTCAAGATTCAGAAGAAAGAAAAAAAAATCAGTTTCTTACTTTTGCCGACGTAACTTTGATAAAAAATAAAAATTAAAACTTTAAAGAAAACATTAAAACTTTTCTTTCTTTCTTTCTTTTTCTTTCTTTCTTTCTTTCTTTCTTTCTTTCTTTGTCGTTTTGTTTCTTTCGCTTTTTTTTTCTTCTTTTGGTCTTTGGTACTTAATTCCTTTCTATCTTTATTTGTCACTTTTTCATTAGCACTTTCTTTCTTTCTTTCTTTCTTTCTTTCTTTCTTTCTTTCTTTCTTTGGCATTTTCTTTCTTCATAACTTTTTCTCTTCTCGTTTCCTTGCTTATTAAAATCTGTCCTTTCTCTCTTGTTTCGCCCTTTCTTACGTTGTAGTTCTTTCAATCTTTCTTTCTTTTTTCTTTCCTTCTTTGCTATTTAATTCCTTTCTTTGTCACTTCAGTATGTGTGCATTCTTTGTTTTTCTCTTTTTTTCTTTCTTTGGCATTTCCTTTCTTTCTTTCTTCATAACATTTTCTCTTCTAGTTTCTTTATTTATTAAAATCTGTCCTCTTCTATCGTCCTTCCTTTCGTTGTAGTTCTTTCATTGTTTCTTTTTTGTCTTTCTTTCTTTGACGCTTAATTCTTCCCTTTGTCTGTCACTTTGCCATGAGTGCATTCTTTCTTTCCTTCTTTCTTTCTTTGGTATTTTCTTTCTTTCTTCATAACATTTTCTCTTCTCGATCCTTTGCTTATTAAAATATGTCCTTTCTCTCTTCTATTGTCCTTATATTTCGTTGTAGTTCTTTCATTCTTTCTATTTTATATCTTGCTTTGGCACTTCATTTCTTTCTTTGTCTGTCACTTCGACATCAGTAAATTCGTTCTTTCTTTCTTTCTTTTTTTCTTTCTTTCTTCGGCTCTTAACTCCTTTCTTTGTCCGTCACTTCGTCCATTGCTGCATTCTTTCTTTCTTTCTTTCTTTCTTTCTTTCTTTGATTTTCTGGTTGTTTGTTTGTTTCTTTCTTTCTTTCTTTGGCCTTTCCTTTCTTAGGTACTTTCTTTAGATTTTGTTTTTTTTTACCTGCTTCGTTCTTTTGTTTTTTTTCCCAGTTCTTTTTTTGTACTTCATTCCCTCCTTACCTTATTTCGTACATCCTTTCTTTCTTTCATCATTTATCTAAAAAAAAATTGCTCCTTACTTTTTCTTTCATTCATTAGCTCGTTCATTCTTTCTTACTATGTCTCTTTCGAAATGTATTTTTTTATTTGGCATTTTTTCTCTTTCTTTTTAGATTCCTCTTTTTTCTTGGATTTCTTCTTTGGTATTTTACTCTTTATTTTCTTCTTTCGGTAATTCTTCCTTCGCAGATTCTTTTTTTCTTTTCTTTCTTTATTTATTTGCAAAACTTCATCTGTCGTTTGTTTGTTTGTTTTCTTTTCCTTTTCTATTTTTCCTTTATTGTTTTTCCTTCTTCAATGCTTCCTCCTTCCTTTTCTCTTTCATTTTCTTTCACCGATTCATTCATGTTGTCAATATCTTTCTTTCTTTATCTTTTTGTTTCTTTCTTTTCCCCTTTCTGTCTTTCTTTAAAATTTCTCTCTTTCATATATTTTTTTTTCTTTTTCGCCTTTCACAATTCTTTCACTTCTTTCATTCTTTACTCATTCGTTTTGCCGTTTTCTCTTATTTTCTGTCTTTTCTTCATTTTTTTTTTTTTTCATTTTCTTCTTCTTTTTAACTTTTCTCCTTGGTATTTCTGTCATTCTTTTGCGAACAGAGAAAGTGAAATTTACATTTTTTTTTACACATGAATAAATTTCCAAAGATTTAATTTTTTTTTTTTTATTTATTAACCCGACATATTTTATCGTACAGTGTAACCCGGATATAAGAGAGTTGTCGGGACCGGAGAAGAAGTCTCTTATATCCGGGCTTGGTCTATTTTATATACATTAACACAGGCTCTAATTTGGGACCAGAGAAAATCTCTCTTGTATCCGGGTTTCTCTTATATCCGGGTCTGTTATATCCGGGTTACACTGTATATTTAGGCCGATAGGCGAAAAGAAGTAAAAATACTGTTTAATAAATAAACTGAGCGTCTACTTAAATATGGGTAACCACTAAAAAAAACTTTCATTTACATTGATAAAATATGTCGGAATAATAAATAAAAATCCATTACTTCTTTAGAAATTGCTTTATTTACGTTGGGATACGAAAATGAACATAGTATATATGTGTCAGTATTTAGCTCAATTAGCTTTCATTAGCTCCATTAGATCTCATTTAAATATTCCTGGAGACCGAGTGGACCCTATTCGTAACATACTCGTTGACAACACAAATATAATAGCATCATCTACATGCGAAAAAGGTTAAAAATAATGGAAGCCTTATTAATAAAAAAAACAAAAAAAAAACAACACTCAATAATATCAACTATAAACATGGACACAATATCTTGACCGTGTTTTGAAAAATGAAAACATTGTATAAATACATACATGCAACAAACTATTTCTTATTTAACAGTTAAAACATTTCATCCTTGAAAAAGCCTAAATATATAGCTGAAAGCGCTCGGATGAAAAGAATATTCGGACAATTTTTATATAATTTATCATCTGAAAGGAAAAAATATTAGACCACTGGAGGAATTGTATAAAAAAGTAAATCAAAGGAATTGTCTGTCGTATTCAATGAAATCTGCATGAAAGGGTTGCTGCCTAAATACACAAATATATATATATATATAGATATAAACACACACACACACACATACACACACACACACACACACACATATATATATACATTATATATACATATATATATATATATACATATACAATATAAAAAGAATGTATAAACACACACACATATATATATATATATATATATATATATATATATATATATATATATATATATATATATAAATATAGTCTTAAGGTTTGCTATATTTATGGAATAAAGTGCTCAATATCAGAGATAGAGCGTGTGTAAATATAAAAGTGAACATAGAAGTCAACACTTAGAGGCGACAGTCTGTTTCATGCTATATGCAATCGTCAGGCCACATATGCTATTATTTTTCTCGGCTATTTATATATATATACGGGTTAGTGGTGCATTGTGGGTATTCTATTATGGCGGTTATTTTACCGGAAGTCGTTTGTTTATTTCTTTGGGTCAAGTTATCTTGCTCGTTTTTATTTTTGTTTCTTATTTTATTTATTTATTTATTAACGTAGTAAAAATTTGTTTATATCACTTATTTAATTTATATATATATATATATATATATATATATATATATATATATATATATATATATATATATATAATTCTATAGCAAGTCAGATGAAATGACGGTTTCCGTATAGGAATACGCGTTCAAATCCTGTCGGAGAACGCATCTTTTCTATGAATTTTGTCGAACATTCAGGCCAGTAAACGTAATTCATACTGCTTAATTAAAAACAGAGCATTCACTTAAATAAATTGTATCTATTAAAATAACGTTTAAAGCAGAATATATATATATATATATATATATATATATATATATATATATATATATATATATATATATATATATATATATATATATATATATAGGTTGCTTAATAAAACAAAGGAAAACGAAAGGGTAACAATGTGACAGACATGAAGCACAGAGATTAATGTTATTAGTCCGGATTTTCAGGCACGCCTGTGTCCTTTATCAGCAGTGCGAGAAATAAACAGAGAAACGGGAAAGACTCACCAACGGTGGTTCTTGTGGCTGGTGTGAATTCGTTGTAGAAGGCATTATTAATAAAAATCCGATCCCTGCTTGATTCCTAGCGTGCGAAACTTTTTTGAGAATATCTATCTATCTATCTATCTATCTATCTATCTATCTATCTATATATATATATATATATATATATATATATATATATATATGAGAAGTTTTTTTTTATGAATGTCTGCTTATATTATCTTTTACTATCCATCCTTATTAAAAATATTGATCATTGAAGATATCAGATATTCTTATACAAAGTGTAATATATATCGAAGATCGACTTAAAGTTTCGACGAGAGAAACGTCACGAAACTTTTAGTCGATATTCGACAAGTTCCTGGACTTTAAATATTTTTGATACAAAGTGCAACACTGGTTTTATGTGTAAACAAATTCAAAATTATAAGCCGAAGAAACCTCTATTTGAATAACGCTGTCTCCCACACTCCTGTATAAAAATATTAGTTTATCGTTTTACATCTTATTATGACCTCTTTGGCATTCTATAACCTTCATTGGTCATTCAACTACTGATTTTCTTAACTTTTCTACACTATCGACTTTAAACGGGGTACGTAATAAAAACGACCATAAGGTCGTTTTTATTACGTACCCCGTACTTACCGAGATCCGGAAAGGAATATTTAGAGAATCCAGAGGTTATTTCATTAACTTGTCTTTAAAACCGTTTTTGACAAGGTTGGCAATAGTGAGGTTTGTAAAATGAAAGAGGAATTTTCCGCCATGAATATATATTTCAGCTTAAATCATTTTGGTTCAGTCTCTTACGGCTACATTTTACGTGATGTATGGCAAAGATTACAGTTCATAATTTCTCGGTCTAAACACGAAAATCAAACAGTATGGAATGTGTACTTTATACTCAGGCAGAAAAAAGGGGTTGGTTAATGTTTTCTGATCGAATTAGCAGACGGTTGGCGATTAAGATCCGCCAGTGGCTAAGATATCTCGAGACCAACTGAATTCATGTGTATTTGAGAGGTTTATCAGCCAACCCCCAAAACACAAATAAACACACCTGCACAAACGGGGAGGTGTTAATCAGCTCCATACATCCTTTGATACACTCCTTTACACATGTTCAAATAACCCTTCTCCACGGAAACACAAATGAGAAGAGTAACATTTTTAAATTGAGGGGATACATGATTGAGAATTTAACCCTGTTAGCGAGCTTTTTTCGCTTCTATTATACCAGCCAAACAAGTCAAGATTTCAAAATAACAGTCGAACTCAATAGAGGCCATGCTGCGCTTGTTAGTGCGCTGGAGGGGTGTAGCCTGGGTATGAATTTACCGGGAAAAAGGCTGGATTGCAATCGATTATTTGACCTAAAGAAGAGGCAAAGCCTAAACTACAAAGCCACTCAGTGTAATCTATCTATCTATCTATCTATCTATCTATCTATCTATCTATCTATCTATCTATCTGTCCCATCTTTCTGTCCCATTATCTATCTATCTATCTATCTATCTATCTATCTATCTATCTATCTATCCCATCTGTTGATCTATCTATCTGTTGATCTATCTATCTATCTATCTATCTATCTATCTATCTATCTATCCCAGTTTTGTCATTATCTATCTATCTATCTATCTATCTATCTATCTATCTATCTATCTATCTATCTATCTATCCCAGTCTGTTGATCTATCTATCATCTATCTATCTATCTATCTATCTATCTATCTATCTATCTCAGTTTTGTCATTATCTATCTATCTATCTATCTATCTATCTATCTATCTATCTATCTATCTATCCCAGTTTTGTCATTATCTATCTATCTATCTATCTATCTATCTATCTATCTATCTATCTATCTATCTCAGTTTTGTCATTATCTATCTATCTATCTATCTATCTATCTAAAAGTCATATGTATGATCCTAAATATTTAATGGGTAACAAAGAATTTAAATCGATATATATATATATATATATACGCACGCACACACGCACACACACACACACACTCATATATATATATACATATATATATGTATATACAGAAGAATTACTTAACTGTAATTGTTCCCGATTGCAGCGATGGACAAATTGACAATCGTTACTAGTCGCCATTCTCCTATATGGATGTGAAACGTGGATACTGTTGGCAGAAACAGAGAGAAGGATCCAATCGTTTGAGAACAAATGCATAAGAAACTCCTTGGCATCTTCTATTGTGAAGGAAAAAAAACTAACAGTTTGTGCGAAAAATGGTTGAACGTTTTGTGGGTAGGAACCTCTTCTCGCCACTGTCAAACAGAGAAAAAATGATGCAGTTTTGAACACATTATAAGGCACGAGAGCCTGTACAAGACCATCATGCAAGACGCCGTGGAAGATGGACGTAGGAGAGGACGCCAACGCAAAAACTCGTTGGACAATATCAAAGAATGGACAGATATGACTGTACTAGAATTGATGATGGCTAGCGTTGATAGATCGTTGTGGAAAAGAGTTAGTATGGCTTCTGCATTTGGATCGACTTTACGATTACAACAGTCAAGGAGATGATGATGATGATGATGATGATGATGATGATGATGAACTGTCCCCGACTCTACAGTTTCGTAATAATGCGCCTACTTTTCACCGCGTTAATCCGTATATTAAATATTTCTAATTGTAATGAATAGCTGGGGTGGGGGAGAAGAGTATTCATACCTTTCCCAAGGTTATTAGTTCGTAAGAGAATGAAATGGCGTTCACTAGAATTCAGTTTGGTTGTACTGCCGCCAATGAGTGAAGAGCGCGTGACAGAAGTGCGTATTATACAGGAATAGTTTACGTTAATTTTAGCAGTTACAGATTCTAAATTGCCAGTGCATACTGTATCCGAAGGTTATCCTCTTTAGAATTTCATTTAGGAGAGCGTTTTATAGACAAGTTTGCCAGTTTGAATTCCACTCGAA